ATTCCTTTGAGAAGGTTCCTGATACCATCCCTGTGCATTCCACTGTTTCGGCGTGTATGTAAACACATAAATTTGGGACTAACAGGGTTTACTAGAATCCCACCACTCCACCACAGAGTCACCGCAGTAGACGTTAGATGAGCGCTGTCGCTCCGCGGCACTTGTTTAACATCAAGTTTAGTGTTGTTTTAAAAGGTGTAGTATTTATGTAATTCGTGTCTGGCTGTGTTTGTTGCCCGATGCAGTTGTGATAATCTCTCTATTCTGCAGGCGCAGCACTCCATCCAAGATGAGTAAGTCGGTTGAGGTGGTGAAGAGAGAGGCACCAACGTGGGACTCGGAGCGGCTAACCCCGGACACGCTATTCGTGATGGGAGCCAAAGCAAACAAGTAAGTATGAGCAGCTACTACGGAAAGCCGAGCAAGATCTGGTGGTTTTGCGTTCAGTGGATCTGGTTAGCTAGTAATTCCACCGTTCGTATGTTTTTAGCTATGATGAAATCAAGTTTTTTTTCTATCTGCACTAGGTCTCTAGGGTTGGGAGCGACAAGGGGTAGAGTCTACATAAAACACCCCGAGTTGTTCAAGGTAAGCTGACGACGTGCACTCTAACACTTGACTGATGTCCCCCTTGTTAAATAAAGTTAATGCTGAACACATGAAGGTCATAGTCATAAGCGTAGCCATTGTGTTATTCGCGATTAACAAGTAATTCGAACCTGTACATGTATTTAGGAATATTTTATTTGAGAGCCGCTTTCACCAACCTTTCCCAAGGATGGAAAAAGGTATCTATAGAGGCATGTTTGCCTGTCTTCGTAGTCGTTAACAACGGTTTTAGTGCTGGTCCGAGGTAATGTGTGTTGTCTTTCAGTACTCGGGTGATGCTGACGATAAAGTGTGGCTGTGTGAGCAAAAGCTGATGCCAGCGACGGGAGGAAAGGCGTACCTGTTAATTGAACAGGACATTCGCGACCTTGCAGAGACTAACGAGTACAGGTGAATGAGTGTGCCCGTAAGCAGGGAGCAACTGTTCTGGATTATACCAATAGACTATATATATACAGGATTAGATACTAGCCATTTTAGTTCATTAGTCCACAGGACTAGTAAAAGAACAAATGTACTAATATAGTTAAGGTATATAGAGCTATCTATATAGTTCTTATAGACAGAGAAAGCGTATGCATTTGACCACCACTGACACCTAGAATCGCCAGAAGTTCATACACAGTGGATTCTGGCTTCGGAGATAACTTGGTCGTGTATCGAAGAGGGTTTCGTTAGAAGCGGCTGTCGCCTAAGGCCCGATTTCCATTCTGTCTAACACAAGTGTTTCATTAACAAAGAGTTTCTTCCAAATCACGGCATCTACTCTTCGTCATGCACTCTGACTCGGTTACGAGGTGAATCTTCTAATGAAGACGCACTCAGATGACCTCCTATTATAAACGTTTCCCACCTGACGCGATACGATACGTTCTGAGTGTCGATCAAGTGTGGGATGTTCATTCTCCAGGAGCCAGCCGGGCCTGATGCTGGACATACTGCGTGGCTTCACCATTCCAGAGAGGATGCTTGTGAAGATTAAGCTCTACATGGAAGCGATGAGAACAGACAGCGACAGCGTGACGAAAGTGCCGTCGTCGAGCCGTCTGCCTTTCGAAAAATTTCTCGCCAAGGTAAGTGGCACCACCGGCACCACCACCACCAACAACAACAAGAGTAGCATCAGCAGCAGCAGCAACAGCAACAACAACAACAACAGCAGCAACAACAACAACAGCAACAACAACAACAGCAGCAGCAGCAACAACAACAACAACAACAGTAGCAGCAGCATCAGTAATTGACAGCAACAGTAGCTAAAATATCTAGTTTTCTGTCATTTAACTACACTAATCGACAGAGTTAATCATGTGCTGTATGTTCACTAACGAGTTGTTATCGTCGATGGGCAGATGGAGCCATCGGAGGCTGGAGAGGAGGATGAGATGAGCAGTGAGGCTGGTCGCGGCACGCCATCTAAAATGGAGGCTAGGGTGAGCACAAACTGCCGAGTTATCAACGGCTGATTCTCAAAATAATATGCTACGATTTTCCACGCTTTTTGTCGTCTTAAGTAAAGTAAAGTCATGTAAAACTGGCTCGCCTTGCTCTACATAAACATGCATAAAAAACGACTCATCGTAGTAGCTTGGCCGTGCCCTATGTCCGCGATGATTGCAACATGCGTGTCATTTGATTTGAGGCCAAGTTAAGCATTTTGTGATTTGATTTCCCAGAGCTCTGGTGCTACCTCGCCTGGAGACAACCTGAGTTCGGAGTCACACAACCCGTCACCTCTCGGCCCATTCGCGGACCTAGATACTGCCTGCCACGTATCGTCCGCTCTATTGTCGAGTGGTTCTTTGATGTTAGACGACCATGGTCCAATGACGGGGCCATTTGATATAAGTTAATTATAATATTACTGTGCCGGAAATTATTTTATTTCATAAAGGTTTTACGGTAAGAAATGTTTGTGGTATATAGTCACAAATCAAGTGTGATATATGATGATTGTGGATAGGTCTTAGCTTTCCCCCTCCCCTATTCTAAACCTGCCTGATAATATCGTAATACGTGAAGGAAATCGGTCGTGCACCATGTACTTTGGCTATTAACACAGGAAAACTAGTTGTACTTTGGAAGTTTTTCTTGTGTGGTTTTGCCATATTGCTACATAGTGGGGTTGCGATCAGCTGAGGAACCTATGCCATTCATTTAAAGATCTCTAACTGCGGGGTTGTAAATTTTTCGTTGCTTTGTCAGTCGAATGACATTATTGGTTGTCAGGTCTCGGTCTTATACCGTGTGGTCGGTTGTGTATCCTGTATGCGGTCACCTCTACTCGGTTCTACAATCTGTTACAATTCTTTCCACTTTACAGTCTGATACAATGTATTGCAGTCCTTCTACTTATGATTCAGTCTGATACGGTGTATTACACTCGCCCCTATATTGTGTCACAGTCTGATACCATGTGCTAATGTCCCTTACATTGTGTCATAATCTGATACAATGTGTTATAGTCCCTGGTTACCTGCTAAGTATCAGGGCAGTATGCCACAGTTTTCTGTCAACGCCGGCTACGGGGCCCCTATAACACTATATGTTGAACTCTCTATTTATAATGATTAATCGTAATCATCCCACCTAATGAGTTATTGTTTGTTTGGGATCGGTTTGTTCGGCTGCTAATGTTTTGCACTGTTTGCACGCGAAGCAAATGCGAAACCCACTGCTTCTTCCTCGTGTGGATGAGTGAGTGCGTGCATGCGCAAGTGCATTGGGTGTCAGAGATTATATAGCTAGCAGGAGGAGGGCTGGGGGCAGTTGCTGCCAAGGCAAATGTATATACTATCAGGAGTGTCATAATATCGATGATAGATTATCAGGAGTGTATAATATATATATATATACATATATATATATACAACATCTCTAAAAAATGCCATCTCTGTTTAGCAGAAAAACTTTATATTACTAAAGCCGACAAATCCAGGCTACTTAATAGAAGATCAGAACTAATTTCGAAGTGCCGGCACGAGAACAAATATTACCTAATGAACATGAAGAGCACAGGAGAAACTGGAGAATCCTCATCATATTAACTAACACACGGCCAACGCTATCACAGGTGAGCCTGTGACCTCGATCTGCGTGCAAGCACTGTGGCAAGATCATCAGTCTCGACCCCAGCGAGAAACATCACAACTGCCGCTGCGGTACGTGGTCAACGCTACCATGGACAACGACATTGACGACGGCTAACTCTCGCATCTGTCGATGGAACTACGGCCAGAACATCATCGGACAGCGACGCACAGTGAGTGTCGACCATTGCCGCACTTACAGCCATGACAGGGAGAGTCATCCACGTTGAAGGAGGTTACGATACGGCAGCATCCTATCCGAAGCGGCGCCGACGGTGGAGTACTGCAGCATGTAACGTTAACTAACGCATTTTCCTACGCGATACTTTTATGCTCGCACATTACATAATTTTCTGACGAGATATGTAACGATATTTACGGAAAATATGAGTGAATTTTCTTATAAATGGCGGCAATAACGTTACGTCCGCGAAATACTGCAGCGGGTGACGTAAAATAACGCGTTTTCTCGCACGATACTTTACCGCGCTCTATCTGTGCGCATATTGCAGCAATTGTTGTTAATTGCGCGACGACAGGAGGCTTAACGCTGACGAACATTTTACGGATAGTAGCGATTGAAGTTTTCGTATAAAATAGCGGCAATAAGATTAGAAACAAACAAAAAGTTAAAATTCGCAACAACAAATATACCAGCAGAACAACCATATAAATATTGCATCTACTGACTTTTGGCTAACTATGGCCGCGTACGGTTTCCGCAGGCCAAACCGTTAACGCGAGCTATAGTTACTAGAACTACATAACATAGATAACTAAAACAATAGCCCGCTATTCATGTTTATATGGATTATGGATTATACAAGGTTTATTATTCATTAAAGTTGTCTGATGATCGCGCAAGCGTGAAACTCGGAGTACAGCAAAAAAAGTGATGTCTTGCTGTTTAATCTATCTACAATAATATATATATATATATATATATATTATACACTCCTGATGCTATTACATGGTCAATGGGCGATGGCCGAAGGCTACCTGCTCACGGCGAACTGCCCAAAAGACAAACCGCATGTGGCTTTCCCCTCAAGCAAAATCACTTAGCTTCGCCCCCTGGTGTTATTAAACTTATTATATACTCCTCTTCCTAATGTTATCAGAACAGCGTGATTGTAAGCTAGCGATAGCATGTAGGCCCTACTGCATGCCTGCATATGGTGGTGACTGGCCCGGCTCACCATCTTTTGTGACTCGTTCTCTCACGTAACACTTATTTGCAGTCGTATTACTAAACTTCATCACCCACCGATCCTGTGACCATTGTTTAATAATAAAGAGCGAGAGAGAGGAGAGAGAGAGAGCGAGAGAGAGCAAGAGCAGCTGATACCTAGTTGCGTGAACGGATGTCGTTACAGATCGCACTCGGACGTATATTAAGTGGTCATTGGCACAAACTTCATATAAATTCAGGAATTTTGGGACATTTTTTTAAAAATCAGGCTTTCAGCTGTCATGTTAACGTCGGTGTTATCAATGTTGTTAATGAAATGGTTGGCTATCTAATGAGGGAAGACATGTTGCCGTGACGACATGCGCAGGTGTAGCGTATGTGCCCCTGTATACCGTAGCCTGTTGTGAACACGGCAATCACTTTCTCGCCACGTTGATCGCTGTAGGATGTAGCCTCTAGGTATCAGAGGTGATGTTTTTAAACAGGTTGGGTGACGGTACGGTGTTATCGGTATATCCAGAGTCGATTTTAAAGACCTGGATTTCCAGAGTGAATGTGGGTGTCCTTGGTCATATCATACGTGTATGGACATTGGTGCAAATGTAGTGTGTCGTAGAGATATTGTGAGCAAAGAGTGTGGTCTCACGCGCTATCAGTTGCTCAATCTATTTATCGTCGATGTATTGAGTACATGTTTTTTGAATTAATTCAGTGAATGCTACAATGATTATGCCCCGTATAATTGTGTGGCCTGCATGTGCGTGTGTATGAAGGCGCTGCAGATATTGTTATTGGCTATTTATGTTCTATCTATAAGGAGACTGTATTTTCACACAAAATATAGATTATACAACAATAAACAGTAATATGTTATGCGCTTAAGATTGTAATATTATGGACTTTTCATCTATTGATTGATACATAGTATTTATTTTATTTATTTATTTATTTTAAGCCTGCCGCACACGCTGTGTTTTGTGCTGCGCCATCGGCCACGCGTGGCTGATGGCGCAGCACAAAACACAGCGTGTGCGCGTGCAAACACAGCGATTTCTTGCGTGTGGAAAATATCACACGTATTTGATATATATCAAACGTGTTTGATATTTTCTTCCACGTGTGGCAGATTCCACAGCGTGTGCGGTGTGCCCGTGTCAAGTTCCACACCGGCTCTATGTAACCGACCAATAGCAGCAGGTCAAGCGAGTCACGTGATGTTAACTTGCGGTTGCAGCGCGGTTGCACTGCGGTACACGCACGTACACGCACGTACACGCGGGTATACGCACGTACACGCACGGGCACGCGGGTACACGCACGTACACGCAGGTACACGCGGGTACACGCACGTACACACAGATACACGCACATACACGCGGGTACACGTACGTACACGCACGTACACGCGGGTGCACGCGGATACACGCACGTACACGCGGGTACACGCGGATATACGCACGTACACGCACGTACACACAGATACACGCGGGTACACGCACGTACACGCAGGTACACGCACGTACACGCGGGTACACGCGGATACACGCACGTACACGCACGTACACGCGGGTACACGCACGTACAGGCACGTACACAC